GGACAGATGTTGTAAATGATTTATTTTTAAAAGAACATAAGCTGCCATGCAATTTTACATACAAGTTTCTCGAGATACTTCTAGAAGTGAAAAATATATTTCTTTTGGGGCAAATTGCAAGGATTGTGGATAAGAACTTGAAGGATGGGCAGATTCTAAACCAAAATATGGAGAATCCCTTTTTATAAATATTCTTACAGAAGATACAAAAGGTTCAGAAACAAGCCATACAACAAAAAGGCAGTTGAAAGGTTATAAACGGAAGAGGATAGGTGAAGAGTTATCAACTGATGTCGGTTCCAATTGGAGGAGAAAAAATGTTGCTGATTTGGAATTCGGACGAATTTCACCAGCAAATCTATATAACCTTAATGTGTTGAGTAAAACAAAACAACAGTTCAAAGATGCAACATTGGGAATTACAGAAAGCTGTCCTATACAATCATTGATGGAATTCAAATATAATTCCAATCATGCCGGATCGATTCATAATTTAGGTATTGACCCTTTCTTTGTATATTATTGGTCTAATCATCAATTGATTATATATAAAGATGTATGTAAGACGTACTGTCGGTTATCTATTGACGCGACTGGAGGTTTGGTGAAAAAAATGAAGAAATCTAGCCTTAATATTGTATCAAACAATATTTTTTTATATGAAATCGTTATTAGCACTACATATGGACAAATTCCTATATCGCAAATGTTATCAGAAAGTCATGATACTCTAAGCATATTTCGATGGTTAGCTCAGTGGAATAAATCGGCAGCAAAATCTCCTAATGAAGTGGTGTGCGACTTCTCAAGAGAATTACTCGGAGCGTTAACACGCACATTTTGTGAAGGATCAAGTCTAAGAGGATATATAGAAACATGCTTTCTGTTTTTACACAATCATACCACAGAACTGCCTTCATGTTTCATCAGAATTGACGTCGCACACATAATTAAAATTTTTTGTCGAATTAAATGTTTGGTCGGGCAACATAAAAAACATTTAAAAGAATTTTACGTTAGATGTTTAAAGTTACTTATGGAATCCGAGACTCTTGAAGAATTTAAAACTATTTTAATTCATCTGTTAACTGTGGCATTAAGCGAAACCGATGGGTGGATAGATACTGACAATGCAAACAAAACTCATTCGGAAAAGGGGAGAGAATTTCTTATTCGCCTAATGAAAGACTCAAGAAAGAATGAAACAAATGAAGAATTCGATTGGTCAAACGAAACCGAAGACGAAAATGAAAAAAATGAAGAGGTAGAAGAAACAGAACAAAGTAACAATCAATTGGAAATATTTTTGGAAGATATACTGGACAAATCTAAAGTAAACTCAAAGCAAAGCGGAAATAGAATATCTGCTTACTATCTTCCTGAGCTTGCGAATGATATTATGCGCCTGTGCAAAGATTTTCCACTGTGGACATCAGTTTTGAAAACTCACTTTAATTCACCGTACGATATTCCTACTTCTGCTTCGGTTGAGGGAGATTTTAAAGAATTAAAATGTACAATTCTTCGTCATGAACGAAAACCTATGACTGCAGATAGGTTTGTTATTCATCATTTAAATAGTATTGATAGTAATACTAAGCTTTTTCGTAGTTCACAGTTGAGAAATTATGCCATTTATAAAAAAGATTCACATTTAACAAGATCACAGTTTAATATATCGAATAATATCAGTGATGTATCTAATTGTCGATCATCTGAAACATCTAGGATCGTCTTAAACGATAATATTAATAAACAAGCTGATGAAGTATCTGAAAAATCATTATCATCACCCTTTCGCCGTTCATCATCACCGTCATCATCATCGTCAATACCAGATATTTTATATGTATCTGACGACGTTAATGAACTGAATGTTTCTTTAGATTCATATCATCACTTGCCCTCATCATCAACACCTGATATTTTAAATGTGTCCAAAGACGATAGAGAACTAAATTTCTCCTTATACACAAAACATAATTTACCCTTATCATCAACTCCTGATATTTTAAATATATCCAACGACGATAACGAACTTAATGCATCTTCTGATTCACTTAGTGCTACAGAAAATTGGAGAGGGCTAGGTAAAGAGTCTCTTTCAATTGATAGTACCAATAAATCAAAAAGAACAAGACCCACAAGATACATGCAGGCAAATAAGGAAATAGAAAAATTATTAATCAAACGATGTACTAGATCAAACTTGAACAGTGTATTAAAAAACGGTAATGATTGTTCAGTTATAACTGATAAAAAACAAAGGTACCTCGTAAATAATACTTGTGCTTTTGACTCTGTTGCTGTTAAAATTTCTAAAGCATATTTAGACAATCCTAAATATAAAAAATTCATTGAAGATAATAAGCACCAATTTTTAAATTTTTGTAAGAGCTTGGCTATTTATGGACCATCAAAATTACTATATAAAGATCGTTTAAAAATTCTTCAGACTATATTTGAAGAGAATTGTGGTGTGTCTGGTATCAAATTAATTAATACAGAGTGTAACGTTACATTTATAGTATCAGAACTGTTCAAATATTTACCATCAGCTGATGAAAATTTTGCATGTACTAACACAAATTGTAAAGGTATTAAAGACAAAAAATGTCGTACAATTATATTACAACAAGAAGATCTTCTTAATATTAGACATTTGGAAAAAGCAATAGTATATTACGTCGAAAAAAAAAACTACCCGTGTCGAAAACCTTCTTGTGATGGACAAGCTTCCACAAAAAGGAATTTACTTAATCATTTATTCATAGAAGCTGACCAAGTAGAGGACATATGCAATTTCACAATGGCTGATTTTCCAACAACATTAAACATAAACGATGACCGGTAAACTTTAAATATACAATTGTACTAAAATTATTAGTCAAAACGTGTTTATGATATATTTTATTTTACTTTTATAGATTTATATTTCACGGAGTTATAGAATACGGTAACAATCACTATATATGTCACATACGACGTGATGATTCTCATTGGGAAACGCATAATGACATGGCTAAAAAAGTACAAACTTTCAAGGTTCCCAGTAAAAAAAAAGTTAGAGCCCATTTGATTATTTATACAAAAGCATAAATATGATATTAATCGTAATTTATTTTATTTGTACCTATAAATTTTTTTAATTAACCAACAATTTACTTTTTATCAATTTTTTTTTATTGTCAGATTTTATATATTTTGTTTATTCAAGTATAAAACTGTAATTTATTTATAATTTTTTTTTCATAATATCAGCCGAAGAATATCAGTGATTTCCTTTTTATTTAATATTTTTTATCAACAGTTTTTAAGAATTTTATCTGTAAAAAAATTATATTTCTTTTACTACGCTGTTGTATTTGTTTTTTTTTGTAATATCAACAATTTATTTTTTATTTTATTTTTTTGCAATGATTGCAAATATTGTCTAAGTTTTTATTCATTTTATTTCATTTTATCTGTTTTATTATTTTTTATTTAATGTAATTGTTTTTAATTTCTTTACAAAAAAAAAAATGTTAAAGATTTATTATTTTACACTTACAGTAAATGATAATACTTTATTTTATTTTATTTTAAATTGTATTAATTTAATTGTTTTTTAAGAAAACCATACACAGCAATATCAGTAGATTACAAATATAAGTAACTAAAATATTATTTTAGTCCCATATTATACAATATAATATAATATTTTATTTAGATAACAAATAATAATTAGTAACAAGTTTGAAAAGTTACCTGCTAGATATATTAAGATGTAGGTACTAAAATTTATATCGTATACAAATTGAAATAAATTGAATTGGAGAACGCGACAAGACACTATGGAAGTATCAAATTCTAGTTTTTCCTTCGAGGAAAATACTTTTGTGAGGTAAAAGAATAGTATTGCAAGCCAGTTTCATATGATAAACCATAATAATTAAAGGTACTTACACTTAATTTCTTTTTGTGATGAACTTTGGAATATTTATAAAATTATAAGTAACTACTATGAAAAACATTTTAAAGGAATTATAGTTTATCCATCATAGCAAATTTAAAATATTTATATTTATATTTTCGTTGCGTATCAAATATTTTAGGTTAACATTTTTATCAAACATCTTCATAAACGTATGTTTGAAGTCAAATATAATTGGAATATTGTCAAAACGGTATGTATCAATACTTGTAAGTTCATAAAATGTTAACCCCTGAAGTGGAAATTGAGTTATCTCGGAAACTGTTTAGTTACAAATTGTTTGGTGTCGGTTACAATTAGTTACTAAAAGGTTACTAAATTTTGGGATAGGTCCGGATTCGATTGGACAAAGTTTGGGGGGGGGTGGGGGCTGAGTGAATTTGACCCCCTCATTTTGTTTTTTGATTTCTAAGTTTTCAGGTGATTTACAAATTCAGGGAATGAATTTACAATTATTTACAATGGATTTACAATTGTTTACAATTGGTCCGGAGTCAATAGGGCAAAGTGGGGGGCTACGTGAACTTGGCCCCCCTCATTTTGTTTTTTGATTTCTAACTTTTCAGGTGATTTACAAATTCGGAGAATGAATTTACAATTATTTACAATGGATTTACAATTGTTTACAATTTGTTCGGAGTCAGTAGGTGAAAGTGGGGGGGCCAACTTCATGTACGTGTTGAACCCACCGTATGGCATGTACTGCGACATAGCCCATCCGTACAAGTTGTTACCTATAAAAATTTAAAAAAAAATAATAAGTATGAAAAAAATATACTTACAGTCCTGATATACTATCCATGATTTATCTTTTGTCTCATCATACCCCGGGGTTTTTGAATTATTTGCCTTCGCATATCGCTTACTCGCCTGCACCAATCCTCCATGTATACCTATAAAAAATATATAAGATTATTATTATAATTATATACACATTTTAAAAATAAAAAAATAATATACTAACCATTCTCAAACATCAACAGCATGTCATAATCGTGTAATAATTGAAGTTTCTGCCCCGTAAACTTCAACATCGCGTCAAAACTAAGTCCTGGTCGGCGTCCAAGTTGTATGCCCTCATACTTGCGTCACGGAAGTTTTCAAATACATCAGCCAACAGCAACACATCGATTTTGAGATACAGGTCACTATATTCGCCCAACGTATTGCAATCAAAGTGATCCCAGACCAACTTCGCGTGTTCAAAATCTTCCTCCTTAATCCCGGTCTCGGTCAACGTACTAAAAAAATTTCTCTTACTCGGTAGTCTCCTGTCTTCCAGCCGCTCCCATTTATCTGTGTACTCGTATGGGTACACCCCCTTACGAGTCACGAGCGGCATATCTCCGGCGACAAAATGTTTGGCTGTCTCACGGAAGTTCTCATGCTCGGGTGTAACTAAATTTTCGGCCAGGGATGACAGACTCGACGCCATAAACCTGAACGTGTCGATAAACCGAACAGTGAAGGTACTACTTATATATTTCGAGAAAGATATAAATTTCTTCTCACTGTTCGGTATAACGTTGATCGCCTGTGTATCATACCCAAGTTCAGTGATTATGAAGTGCGAGTCGTAGTTTGAGAGATTATGAAAAAATACGGGGAAAAATTTAGGTTGCTACAACTCCAGGTTACACCTGGAGCACAAGGTCTGCCTAAATTTGCCCGTGAGATGGTCATGATCCCTAACCTTATCGCCCCCGACTAATATGCATTTGCATAAGTTACACGCATTACACTCTTGATGTGTTTTTTCTTCACCCTCGGTCATGATTAAAGGAATATTCGTCTTCATTAGACCTTCAATTTTCCGGGCCACATCAACAATCGACTCCATGAAATGTCTCGCCACGTCCGTCCTGTCTTTGCTGCCTCTGTAGATTACCGGCCCCGCCGGTATCTCGTGTTGAACCAATAAATCCGCCGGCACGTCCTCGCTCGTCTTCACCAAAAAACCGTAGCTCATCGCTTCATGTTTTTGGGTAATCGTGGTACTACCCCCTCTCGCCTCCTCCAAGATCGCCTCGAAATCCGCGTAAATTACAAACGGGTGCCTCACCGTGTTTTTCCACGCCCTGAACTCAACACAATCACCCTCCTTCGGCATTTCCGGTAAAATGGGTTTATGTGCACCGCAAATCAGTTGATGCTGATTCAGCGCGGTCTGCCCTCTCAACTTGTATTTTAAATTTCGGTTGTCGAATGATGTGAAACACCTCTTGCAGAATACTACTCTCTCTTCATGCCTAGTTTTTTTTGCACGTATGAGCCAGGAAAAATTTGAAATATATATATAATGCGAGTTGTCTCCGTCCGTCACCAACAGCAGGTCAAAATGGTTTACCTTCTCCACGTCGACTACACGTAGCGGGTAGACCTCATACCTTGGCAATTTCGGTACTTGAAACTTCTTGTCAAGGCCGTACACGTTAATAGATACATTTTTGTTATTTTTTTCAAATGTTGAAATATCAGACAGTGGAGTAGGGAACGATATATCTTCAAAATTATATTTGTTCTCATGCTGGCTATATCTAGCTCCCTCCACACGAAATGCTGTCGGTCCCGTAACATGTCTCGCTAAAATTGCCCACTTAAAACACTGTTGATCAACATTTTGTGGGTTGATGGTACCTCGCTTCCTGTTGATATATTCCGGCAGCTGAATATAGGAGGAACCGCCCAGTGGAGTATATTTGTATACCGCCAACAACAACCCGTCTATTGACTCTAGCGCAAAACCGCTGCCTCTCCCGGTATACTCATCTTTCTCCTTCGTCAATTTCATATAGGCCCTCTCTACAATCGTTCTAATATCGCTATCCGGGAAAATTTCAACCACTGATGTTTTGAACGCCCTGTTTTCCGATGAATTGGGGACGTTGGGCCGGTTATATGTCGCCTCGAGTTTAAGGTTAGGTTTTTTTTTTTGCTCTAGCAGCCGACACGGTATTGGCAGTCGAAACACGTTTCCCGTTAACGGCAACGGTGTAAGAATCTTTAAAATAAAAAAAAAAATCCTAATTAATATCTAATAAAAATAAAAAAAGTAGTATCGAATCTAATCAACCTTAGTATATAATATAACGATATATGTCTTTGTGTAATTAATCCACGGCGGGTAAATTATTTTAATAATCTAATTAATTCGGGTTTGAAAAAAATTAAACTAACCTGTATCCTCATATTCGTCCAAAGCTGCCATGCAAATTTGTCGCGGTCGGTATTTCGGCAACGCCGAAATACCGGCCGCTACGTCTTTCGTGTCACCCGCACGACGCGCTACAGTCGGACGGCAGGTGGAGGGGACTCGGACGTCGGCAACGACACCCGACCTCGCCGCCGGCCGGGCCGACTGTCTTGTTCCATCCGCGTAACTACCTACTACTACATTTGTAATAAGAGTAATATAAGTGCATAATAAAGTAAACTCGTGTGTTGTTCTTCTGAGTCACCTACATTATCCTCTACCACATCCGGTCAACCGTGTCATTGGCGCAGTCGGTTTTAGGATTTGAACCTCGTGGCCCGTAAGGTAAGTCAATATTATATTAACCACAATACTTATCACGGGTGATCCCACGGGTACTCCACGTGTAGTAGCAAACATTTGTCTATGGACCACGTGGAAAGGCATGGTACTGGGTATGGGACAGGATAGTCTGACCAACAACACTAGCGTACAAAGGGGCACCAACCACTAACGGGTAGCCTCAACAAAACATGGTATAACGCATTTCGGTGATCTCGGGAAGCCCCAAAACCACGTGAGAAACGATACAGGGAGAAACCCATGGGCCGTTTGGAAAACACGTAGGGCACTTTCCGTGAACCCTGGGAATACCCGTATAGTTAATCGCGACAAGCAGGTTTCGCATCGGCGGGGACGGGGCAGTCGACGACCGAACCGAACACCCGTATAACGATGTCGGGGAAAAACACAGCGACGAAACATACGGGCAAAACCCACACAATAGGGAACAAGACCAACAACAATCGGCACATCACAAACCTCGGGAAAACCCCTCCCGAACAGTGAATCAACGCCGAAGCAATGCGATTAAAGTCAAGGAACAACAACGACAAACGTACTACAGCTGAAAATTGACAAGACCAAAGTACTACAACTCAACAGTCTATACAAGGTGGGTACGACTCGATGCCAACGGCAACGAGACGCGCCCGGAACACCGAGAAAGAATCTAGAGGTTTATCCCCCCTGCGCACGTGGACGAAGGGTCAATCGGGTATCCCAACCGGTGACACTGCCACGCCAATGCTATGGTAAATAGGGGAGTAGGCAGGCACCATGTGTTACCAACGTTGGAGTCGTTAAGCCGGTTAAACTGACAATCACGTCACACTGGCCGACCCAATCGAGGGCACAAGCGTAACCGACATTAGGAGTCAGTGAGTCTGGTTAAATTGACAAAAAAGTCACACCAGCAGATCCAATGGAGGGCGCAAAATCAACCAACAGCGGAGTCGAATGACAATAACCAATGACGACCAAAAGTCATACCGTCATCGATCCCGTTGGAAGTAGGGAACCTGAACCAAAGTCACGAAGCGAGGGAAGGCAACGCCAAAATTCTAAAGAGCAAGTAAAAGACTGTAACACGAGGCAAAGTAGTGGACGGACCCATAAGGGGCTAAGTACGGTAACGTTGGAAAAAAACCCCAGGTCCATACACCCGCAGGTGGAATGCAACGGGGAGATTACGAAAGGGTCCTCACAACGACCAAAATCGGACGAGACTCCCGGATCGAACAAAAGTGGCAGGGAAGTACAACACAGCCACCACCCACCAAAGTGTCAGGAAAAGGTCAACAAAGTATCAGCAGTACAAAGAGAGAGGGGAAACCAACATCTCACAGGACAACATGGACTTTACCAGCCAAGCGGGAAAACCAAAAAATTCAGTTCGGGAAATACCCAGTACCGAACAACACCAGGTTTTTCCAAAACACAACAACGGGTTTTTCCAATAACAACACATCACGAACGTCGGGAAAACCCCTCCCGAACAGTAGATGTCAAAAATCAAGGCCGAAGCAATAACATCAAAGTCAATGGACAACGGGCAAGCCCAAAATACAACGGTCGACGGTCTATACAAGGTGGAGGCGACGCGAAGCCAACGGCATTTCAGACGCGCCATGAACACCGAGCTCACAAAGGTAAGAGGTACCTCCCCCACGCACGTGAAAAAAGGTTTAAAAAGGGTATCCCAACCGGTGTAACTGCCGCTTCAATACTATGATAAATAGGGGAGTAGGCAGGCACCATGTGTTACCGACATTGGAGTCGTCAAGACCGGTTAAATTGACAATCACGTCACACCGGCTGACCCAATCGAGGGCACAAGTGTACCGACATTAGGAGTAAGTGAGTCTGGTTAAATTGACAATGACGTCACACCAGCAAGTCTAATGGAGGGCACAACCTCAACCAACAGCGAAGTCGAATGACAATAACCAATGACGACCAAAAGTCATACCGTCACCGACCCCGTTGGAGGCAAGGAACCTGAACCAAGGCACGAAGCAAGGGAAGAGAACACCAACTACCTAAAGAGCAAGCAAAAGACGAAGACACGAGGCTAAGTAGTGGACGGACCCATAAGTGGTAAAGTACGGCAATGCCGGAAGATAACCCCAGGTTCAAACACACACGCGGAACGGGAAATACCTAGTACCGAATGATTCCGCCAAACAATATATAAACGGTATGAACCCAACATACGGGTTTTTCCAATTCTAACTCCGAAAATGACAGAAGATTCAATAGGAAACAACCGAGCACGCCGTGCTGATTGGCGGGGGAGAGTGGCGCGACCGGCAACACGGTGACAGGTCACACCTAGCTTATCATCAGCACGACACGCCCGAACACACAGACATGCGGGCCGGGCCAAACCCAGAACCAGTCCTAGGGTTTTACCGACTCGGGGAAAACCACATCGAAAACATTCCGGGTTTTTCCCCCTAACGAACACCACGGGGGAAAACCTACATACGAACAACACACACGAGATGGGAAAACCAACGATGTGACAATCGGGGAATTACCAACCATAACCAATACGTTTTTCCATATAACATGTTTGTGTTTACAGCAGAAAATCAAGATGGCCGAACGTAACCAGGGAACAAACGCGCCATCCAACCGCAACGGGGATTTTAACCTGTCAGTGGGAGACTACCGTCCCCACCGGGGGACCGTGGCAGATGTGGTCCAGCTGATCCTAGACCAGGCGGCACTAAACTTGCTGAACGCGCGCCGGCTCGCCGGGCGGTCCTCGGGTATCCCCACGTGGGAAAACCTCATGGCTGTGTGGCGGCGTCATGGGAGGACCCAGGCAAGGGCGGAGAGGGGCACCCAAACATCATCAACGACCACGCCCATAGCGGAGATCCCGACACCGTCCGTGCGGACTCCGGAGGCGACACCAGCTGACGGACGAGCACTGGCCAAGTGGGCCGTAGAGGCGACCCACCAAGAGCTGATGGCACATCCTCTGATTCAGATTGCCCTGGACCGGGGAGTGGTGAGACCTCCGCCAGTAAGGCACCCGGAACCCCGACGACTGGCGAGGAAGACGCCGACTGTCGACACCGGCAACACCAGAGTCGTGAGGACGAAGGCCGACCTAAAGCAGAGCGGGACGCTACGCGAGGAACCAAAGGTGGCCGACCTGATTAATCTGGACACGGACGAGGAAGAGTTCCTCCAACTCCAGGTAGGCGCCCAGGAGCTGCCGGACGTAGACATGCTGTCGGAACTGCCGGCCAGCGACGACGACGGACTGTAAGTAGGTAGACGGCGTCGTGCGGGTTGGCGGGGGAGAATGTCGCGGTCGGTATTTCGGCAACGCCGAAATACCGGCCGCTACGTCTTTCGTGTCACCCGCACGACGCGCTACAGTCGGACGGCAGGTGGAGGGGACTCGGACGTCGGCAACGACACCCGACCTCGCCGCCGGCCGGGCCGACTGTCTTGTTCCGTCCGCGTAACTACCTACTACTACATTTGTAATAAGAGTAATATAAGTGCATAATAAAGTAAACTCGTGTGTTGTTCTTCTGAGTCACCTACATTATCCTCTACCACATCCGGTCAACCGTGTCAAATTTCGTCCTCGGACATCATGTTTGAGCCACCGGCCGGGACATCTGGTACAAATATCTGCTGCGTGATTTTAATATCTCTCTGCGGAGCGGCAAGAGGCGCGAACTGTATGACGCTTGGTCGACGTACGTTACCCCGCCCCCCCCCAATTTGATTTTCGCAATTTTCTTTGCGCCAATTTTTAGTGCTCAATTCCTGCCAATTCCTGCCGCAAACCCCGGAATTCCTGCTCTAACGGATTTCCCGGAAAGTCGCCCCACCCGTGGAAAATTCGACTTTCCGGGAAAACCGTTAGAGCAGGAATTCCGGGGTTTGCGGCAGGAATTGGCAGGAATCGAGCACTAAACATTGGCGTTGGAAAAAGTTAAAAAGGTCGAATTCCGACCTAGGGGGGTTGGAAAAACGTTTCCACCATCGCAATATAGTTTTTTAATTTTTACGGGGGCGGTTTTTGAGCAGGAATTCCGTGATTTGCGGCAAGAAACGGCAGGAATCGAGCACTAAAAATTGGTGCAAAAAAAAATTGCAAAAAGTCAAATTTTGAAGGTGGGTGGGGCTGGGGTAACGTTACTCCAGCCCCACCCGTGGAAAATTCTACTTTCCGGGAAAACCGTTAGAGCAGGAATTCCGGGGTTTGCGGCAGGAATTGGCAGGAA